CCCTTCTGAGATTCGTACCCGTGTCAACCAGTGTTGCAGTCCGTTAGAGATGTTACCAGAGAGCTTTTGAGACTTGCGACTGACCTCCTATAGGACTGTACTGGATACTTTGACTGGACACTAGTCAGTAACTAGTGTGATGTGTCTAGTCCTCGAGCATTGGTGCAGACTAAATTCGATCAGTCAGGTTTCCATTCTGGCTGCTATTCTAGGTAACTCCCCATCAAGGTTGTACAGTTATTCAGGAGTTTATAAATGCACAGTGTTAATTACCAACAAGTGAAAGAGGTCAGTGTCATTCAGTAACAAAGAGAGATCAAACTGTGTGTGTGTGAGGAAAACAACAATCAATAATCTTGTGTAATCGAGAAAATGCATATGACTAATCAGTTCAATGTTGAGTAGTTATTTTGAAATAGGTGATAGGAGATGAGAGCACAAAGAATTGAATAAGAGTCACAGATCGAGACAATAAAGTTAGCATGGCTGTGAAAGTGGGAGGTTCCTCTTATGGATGACAAGGTCTTCAACTCCGTGAAGAAGATGCAAGCGAAATCCTTTTGACCAGCTTGATCTTAATTTGTATGTATATGACTCTAAATGAAGTTTCTGCTAAGCCGACACGATCAAAACTGATAATTTGCTCTACAGATGAGTTTACATCTTCTTTGTGCAGCTGAAGCTCTTGCTGTCTCCATGAAAAAACTTGAATATTGAGTTCAGAAACACTTCATCCAACCTGGTTTGAGACTTCAACTTATCATCTCTTGTTTCAAGTATCAAAGCGTTATCTCGAAGTTGAATCGAGTCGAGTTCATCGCTGATGGTCACCTGGGCCACAAACGAGGGCAACACACGCATTCGTATTTAATTGGTGGATGGCGACTAGCAGTGGAATGGAGGATGCGCATTTCATCCTATTTGGGACTCGTCAGCTGTGTTTAAATCACTACTATATCTGACCAAATTGACAAACACTGCTGGTTGATATGTGAGTGACATCCAACTACTCACATCAGTTAGTCAGTAGTATATACCATCAAAAATTGGTGACTTTAAACCACAATAACTGTCTTCATCAAGATTATGGTTCGAGGGTGAAGCTGTATTTGCAAGTCGTAGTATGTCTGAAAAATAAATTCTTCAATCTGTAGTATTTTTCATCGGTCAGTAGAATCAATTTATATCGAAGTGTTGGTTTGGGGAGATTCGATTGATCTCAAGATTGATGATGAATTGACTTCAGTTAGAGAGCCAGTGAGAACTGCGAGGGATTTGTTGACGGGTGTTTCGTCCTAATGTGGGACTCTTCAGTGGTGTCTTTGGATGATCCTATCCCTGTGGAAATTCAAGACCTTCATGTTTCAAGACGAGTCTGTTGATCATTCAGTCATTGGGATAAAATCCAATGACCCATCAACTTTGGCTTCTGACAATTGTGTGTGGATAGTTAATAATGCTTGGTAAACTGATAGAAGACGATATATGAATACAACATAATTAGCACTGAAATGACAATCAAACAAACTTTAGTTTCTTTTATCCGAAATATCATTGAAATTTTTTCAGGGTGGTTAGGCTTACATACTGAAGCCATGCTGAGGAGTAGTTATGCTGGCTGGAGGAAATATCTCTTCAAATCCTACCATGTCAGTAGGGTTAGAGGGATGACAGTTTAACTGAAAGAAACTCACATGAAAAAAAATGTATCATACGTTTATTCCTCTTAATGAATTTGAATAAAGCAAGACCAACAACAATTTTTGCGGAATAAAATTTTACCACCATTGTTTATGTCGCTGGCTTCTCATCAGCTGATCACAGGCCTAAGTCATTATTAAGTATATCTACAGAAACAATTTTAACATACCCAAGTACACAGAGAGTTCATTTTTAAACAAAAATCATAATCAATATAATATGTATACAGTAATTATATATATATATATATATATATATATCACCGAAAATACCCATTGAGTCATGAAGAAAATAAAAGACAGATTCAGCGAAGAAAATTTTCTTTATCGACGAAATCATCTTCACAGGCTGGCTGTACAGTCGTATTTATACCTACAAAAATATATAGTGGTCTATGATTGAGTAATAGGGGGGGTGACATAATTGATATAATTACTCAGAAGTGGTTTTAGAAGTGAAAATTAAAAGTTGTAAATTACGTGGTACTCAACTGCGCAAAGATAGAAATTTGATAAGGTTAAAATTGCTATTGAGTGAGAATAAAGGTGGTAGTTGAGTGTCAATTTAACAAGTGTGAAGAGGGTGTGAAAATAATATACAAAAGGAGCATATGAGAGTGATAATAGTGAATTAATTATTAAAGCAAAAGCAAACTAAAAGTGAAATTAGAATGAAAAGAAAAGCTATGGAAATTTGTGTACTGACCATTACATGTTCGTTTCCTGTAGATCGATCTTTGAAGAGAACCATCAGATCTTCTCTTTAGAAAAACATCCAAAAAATGGAATTCCGAGTTAATTCCATTATGGGTAAATTTTTATTTTGATAGAGTCTCACAGTGTTATACAGTAATATTTACTGATGACGTTTCGAGCACAATTTACTGCTCATAGTCATATCACCCAATGGTGACCCCATTGCCACTCCATCTCTTTGTCTATAAATCGTGTTGTTGAACTTGAACTGGACATTTAGAGTGCACCTCAATAGCAGTTCCTTTAAATAGTGGATCGGAACACCTACGTCTACATTATTATCCTCAATGAATTTGCATATAAAGCAGATAGTTTCAGTGAGGGGAACGTTGGTGAAAAGCGAAGTAACATCCATGGATATTATTTTCTTCCCAGATACATTAGCATCATTTATTGAATCGACGAATTCAAACGAATCAGAAACACTATGCTTGCAGAGGTTGTTTCTGATAGGTAGGAGGATATCTGCTAGCCATTTGGCAGTAGCATGATATGGGGAATTTGTCATGTTTAAGATTGGACATAGTGGCACGTTCTCTTTGTGCACTTTCGGCAGACCATATAAACGGGGAATCACGGAACCGGAGGGTGGTATTTGCCGTTGAGTACCACGTAATTTACAACTTTTAATTTTCACTTCTAAAACCACTTCTGAGTAATTATATCAATTATGTCACCCCTCACTCTATTACTCAATCATAGACCACTATATATTTTTGTAGGTACAAATACGACTGTACAGCCAGCCTGTGAAGATGATTTCGTCGATAAAGAAAATTTTCTTCGCTGAATCTGTCATATGTATATATATATATATATATATATATATATATATATATATATAATATATTAATATCATACACAATGGAAACTTTTGACATTACGTAATTAGATGGAAGAGAGGTGAAAATATCCAGTTATCAGGGCAAATAAAGACTGATAACTGCTTCTATCTGAACACACACATAAATCGGGTTTCAGGCGCTTGATGGAGATGGCTTCAGCAAACTTGAGGAGAATCGGACTCATGAACCCCAGTGAAGGAGATGCCTAGCAATGGCACTGTTTAAAATATTTGTTCCCTTTAGATATAGGCTTTTTGGTACATGTATGCATATATTGATTGATTGATTTTTGTTTAAAAATGAACTCTCTGTGCAAGTATGTTAAAATTCTTTCTGTAGATATACTTAATAATGAATTTGGCCTGTAAGCAGCTGATGAGAAGCCGAGGAAATTAGCAATGATGTTATTATTTTATTCTGCAAAAAAAACTGTTGTTCTTGCTTTATTCAAAAAAACTTATATATTCTGATTCAAATTATCATGAAATTATCAAAAGTTGAGATATATCGCTGCTGCTGCTGCTGGATTCAACATAGAACTTGGCACCGAAGTGCAGCAGTTCCAGTTGCCACGTCCCAAATACCACACAAAGGTAGACAGGAAAATGATAGAAGAGAATCAATAGAATTTAGATAAGTATAAGAGTGAAACAGAATGAGTAATGGCAGAAAGGAATATGAAAGATTACAGAGACTGAATACATCTGCGCTAGCCATTGACAACGATTTTCAGCCATGTCACCTATTGTCTTCAGCCATTGATTCTTAGAGTCTCGAGGGCGGGCCCCGACCCGGAAGTCTGCATCTCCCGACCTGACTCAGTTTAACTGTCAAGGATTTCATGGATTGATTGGTGCCATGTTTTTGTTTGGCCACGACTTACTCTTCTCCAACCCACGACACCTATATCAGCTAGTAATGCCCGTCCGTCGGGGGAGGCGATGGTTAGGCATGCGCAGCACGTGACCTAACCATCTCAATCTATATAACTTCATAGCCTTTTCGATTGATTTTCCCTCTTTGCCCAACACTCTACGCCTAACGTCAACATTACTTACCTTATTATACCACCTAACGTGAGAAAGAGATCGTAAACATCTGTGGTCAAAAACAGACAACCTTTTCATGTCTTCAACTCGTATTGGCCATGTTTCAGAGCCATAGAGAAGGACGGAGCGGACTGATGAGCAGTACACACGTCCTTTGGTTGATAGCCGGATATCACGCCTACGCCAGAGACGGTGTAAGTTAGCGAAAGCAGCTCGAGATTTTCGGATCCGTGCTGAGATTTTGTCACCAATCAATCCGTTGGTGCTGATACAACTTCCCAAATAGGTGAAGTGGTCAACATGTTCTATCACTTCACTCCCTATCACTAAGCTAGGAGTTGACGTAGTCCAGTCCTGTAGCAGCATCTTACATTTCACAGGGGCGAATCGCATGCCAAACATACGAAGATTGCTGATCAAGATGTTCAGAAGACTCTGCATTTTGTCAGCATCCTCCCCTAAGAGGACTATGTCGACTTATGTGTTATGGAGTAACTGGAACTCCTGACTGACCTAAGAATAGTCTTTACAAGACAGTAAATGAACTTTGAATCACTCGTTTTTATTTAATGTTTTTTTCTCTTTTTTTTTGGTGTTTTGAGTAGTTTCCTCCCTGTCACGTTGTTTTATTTTATTTTACCTATTTTCAGATGAGAAACAACCGAATACGCTGAGTCATAGTGAAACTTTTACACGTGGTCATTTGGTTATTAATGAATGTGCACAAAATGGAAGTTATATAGAAATAACAAATAAAGGCAATATGGTATGTACTATTATTAGTATTATTATTACTATTATTATTTATTTTATTCCATTACGTTACATTACAGCTTCAGACTAGAGTCTTGAAGTTCCGAAAGCGATAGTTCTACTTTTTACAGGGTGAGGTTGCTAGCTTCATGCTCCGTCCTTCCTCTTCATCAGTCTTGCTACTGGGCTGGTGAGGTTCAATAGTACTTCGGCTGAGGATCGAACCGCGGACCACGTGCATGGTTGGCGGTTGTCCTACCTCTGAACTACCTATGCCAATATGGCATGTGAAATAATATAATTTATCATCATTAATATATTATTGTTCCCTTGTTTTCTGAATGCAGCATAGAGGTTCAGCAGGAGAACTTCATTTCATCATGTTCTCTGAAGTCGCCTTTGGCCTGGCTACATGATTCCATATTAGTTTGTTTATTAGATGTATCACACAGTGAAACAGTATTATTTACTGGATGACGTTTCGAACAAAATTTATTGCTGTTCATAATCATCTCATCAATTATAATCACACGACTTCGAAACTTGAGTTTTATAGTTTTCTTTTTCCTCTCTTATTTGTCGTAGTAATAGAGTAGTAGAATTTTCCAGATATCTGGGACAGGTGTTGAATCAGTGCTATTACATGTGCTTGCAGTTGATTCGATAAACGAAGCTTCTGTTATCAGTCATTCCCTCCACACTGTCACATTAGATTATAAAACTGTCATCCTATCCCACCCTATTGTATGGTTGTGTGAAATTGCATGTAGTGCTTGAGATAGCTGAACTATTCTCTAGATTTCTTATCTAACTCGGGTCAACTAATCTAGATTTTGCTAGGTTTTTATGTTCGGCTAGTCTGACTGTCCCTGTTCTACTAGTTTGACCTGATAATCATTGCACGGTATTAGATAAACTAAATTGTTTTGTTTTAAAGGCTCCACAGGATCCTTCAACCGACAAAGCTTGGTTCTAATTGAGTGTATTAGAAAAGGGACTAAATTTCAATGTATCAGGAGACAAGCTGAAACCTGAGGATGTCATCCCTAAAATAGAAATAGCACTAAGTAGGATAGAAAATACAACGGCTGACGAAGTAAGGGCATAATGTGCACTTACATCGAAATGAAAAAAATGTGGAAAGCCTAACCTGACAAAACCAGAAATAGAAGTCCTGAAACACCTTAAGCATAGCATGGATATAGTAATCACAAAGTCAGACAAAGGAAATGCAACAGTAGTATTAGGCAAATCAGACTATTTGAACAAGATGAATACTCACATACAAACAGGACCATATGAGCAAATTCATAAATCAATAGACACAGTTATGTATAAAGTCAGGAAATCCACAGCAGACCTTATACGCTGAATGAAGCCGCTTTTAGGTGTCTAAGTGGTTTAATTTAATGCCCAAAACTAATAACCCCAGTAGGTGTTGTTAAAGTTCATAAATCAGGATACCCTATTAGGCCTATAGTTGATTTTAGAAATTCACCTACTTTTGAATTATCTAAATATTTAGCCATGGTATTAAATCCCCTAAAAATCCACTCGAAATCTAGACTAACTAATTCTTATGAACTAAAACATAGATTAGATAATTTAATATTAGATAATGAAGAGAAAATGGTTAGTTTTGACATTGTCAGTTTATACACACGTATACCAATAAATATAGCTATGGAAGCAGTCAGAAACGAACTCATTTCTGACCAAGACCTCGAACTTAGGACGAAAGTGCCACTTGAGGACATAACACTGGGAGTACAGCTATGCCTGACTTCCACAGTATTTAAATTCCTGGTGAAAATATACAAACAAACTGAGGGAGTTGACATGGGGTCACCAGTATCCCCGGTTGTGGCAGATATATTCATGGATAGGTGGGAAAACATAGCGATTGAAATGTTCAGCCCCACCTCAAAAGTATGGTTGTGGTATGTAGATGACACATTCACTGTACTTAGAACACAAGATATAGATAGATTTTTCGAACACATTAACTCAAAGGTGGAGGCAATTCAATTCACTTATGAATTGGAAAGGCGGGAAGGGGAGCTACCAATGCTAGATTTTAGCGTAAAAGGCAAAGAAGATAGGAAGTTAAACGCACTAGTGGTTACAGAAAACCCACACACTCAAACAGATATTTAGACTTCCGATCGTCCCATCCAATGTCAGTGAAAATAGGATTGGTGAAATGTTTAAGTGACAGAGCACAACAATTAAGTATGACCAAGGAAAATCTAAGACAGAAAGTTAGGCATACAAGAGAAGCTTTGAAACTGATAAATTAGTCAGATAGTATTTAAGGAAATGTAAAAATAAAAAAAATAATGATAGTAGTGATAGTGATAATGATAATAATAATATTAATGATGACATGCATATCAAACATGCGCAAGATAATGACAACACCAACAATAAGGAATCTAAATCATCAGTAGTAATTCCATATAAAGAAGAAACCTCGGAAACCTTACGCAGAATTCTTAACAAGGCAGGAATAAAAACGGCATTCAAACCCACAAACTCAATTAGAAACAAGCTTCGTCGGTTAAAGGATCCTGTAGAGCCTTTAAAACAAAACAATTTAGTTTATCTAATACCCTGCAATGATTGTCAGGTCAAATACATAGGTCAAACTAATAGAACAAGGGCAGTTAGACTAGTGGAGCACAAAAAGCCTAGCTGTGAAATCTAGACTGGTTGACCTGAATAAGATAAGAAATCTAGAGAATAGCTCAGGTATATAGCACTACATGCAGTCACACACAACCATACAATAGGATGGGATCAGATGACAGTTTTAAATTCTAATGTGACAGTGTGGAGGGAGAGATTGATAACGGAAGCTTTATTTACCGAATCTACTCCAAACGTGCGTAGTAGGGATGATTCGACACCTGCCCCAGACATCTGGAAAATTCTACTACCCCAACGACGACAAATAAGAGAGAACAAAGAAAACTATATAAAACTGAAGTTTCGAAGTCGTGTGATTATAATTGATGAAATGATTATGAACAATAAATTGTGTTCGAAACCTTCTCATCAAGTAAATAATACTGTTTCACTGACTGTGTGTGATGCATCTAATAAACAAACTAATATGGAATTATTTGATACCGCAGTGCCGAAGTTTTACACATATATAAATATGGCTACATGACTGCCCATAAACTCTCATTTCTTCCTCCTTCTCACAGCATATCCTCCACGTCACTTCCAGACCCCCACTCAATTCATCGTTTCACATTTTGGTTCCAGTTAAGGGCCTACTTGGCACCTGATGTCATTCAGCACAGTCTACACACCGTATTCCCAATCCATCTCCATTTTTCTTTAAGGGTATATTTATTGAGCGATATATTCTTGTTTGGCTGGTTACCATGGAGTTCATTGTTGTTCATCCTTTCTGACCATATAATCTTCAGCATGCAGCGAAGTCAGCTTTTAACGTTAGTCTGTGTTACCTGTTGAAAATGCTTTTGACAAGAAGCTGACATGTCAACCTGAGACCGAGCAATTCGGTCCAATCAATCGACGGGAAAATCTAAAATTTAATTTTAGAAATAATTAAAATGCCCCGTTGCACAAGAGGTGGCTTTCGTGGCCCAAGTGGTCTAGTGGATAACGCTTAGATCGGACAAGAATGTTCGACTTTCGCTGATGTGACAGCTCTTGGTGAGGATGCCTCACTGATATCTGAGTATTAACGGTAGTGTTTTGGTTTTGTTAGATGCTGACAAACAATGGAATCTGAAATGCGAATTTCGTCCCTTTTGGGGCTCATCAACTAGATGTGATAATTAATGACTTATCACCATTGCACAAGAGGTGGCGCTTGCAGCCTAAATGGTTTGATGGATAACTCTTTGACGCTAGAAACGAAAAGGTACTGGGTTCCAGTCTCATTATTTAGAACATCATTATCCGGATGACAAGTTCTAAATAGGACGAAATATGCTGAGATGACTTATAATCTAGGTTAAGACTAAGTGCCTAGTTCCCAGCTTGAATAGAATACGCTGACCAGTCCAGTAGTATGTCTCATCTCCTTCGTAAAGAAATATTATTTTAGTGTCAGACAAACGGAGTGATTAAAGTTTCTTTGGAAGGTGTGTGATTCAATGAAAAGTTAAATAGTTAGTCATTGCCCACCCACCCAACTCAATCCATCCACCAAATTTATTTTCATGTCGTATAGATTTTTAGCATTTACAATGTGAACACACCATAAATAACTCATTCCTACCAAATACCTAAAAAGCGATGATAACAGTGTTCAATTTTGTTTTAATCCTCCGGTTACCATAGCAACCATGAATAAAGAATAAAGTAGTTAGGGGCAGTGGAAGTTGAACATTGAAGAAATAGACTGGCATACAAACAATAATAGTTTAAAAACTAATACAAATTAAATATATATATATGATGTACTGGGCTGTTATATAACAGTCCAGACGATTAATTTTCATTTTTCGTTAATGTATAAATCATGTTGTAAGATTAAATAAATGCGATTCAATTATAGTTGTAACTTTCTGATTGGATGGTATGTCGATCAATATAAGATTTCTGCTTATTGGCTTAACTATAATCTTTTATAGCCTCGTCCAGTCATTTATCATAGTATGTGTGGGTGTGTGCGTGTGTGTTTGAATTTTTGTGGACATCACTGCAAATTAACTGTTATTCTGATATTTCTGGTGAAACTACCCAGTAAGCTGTGAGCTATACGAACCGATTATGCTCACAATGGAATCTGGTATACACGTCCTATTCTATGTAAGACTCATCAGCTGTATGTATTTGACCCACAGTGAGTGAGGCTGTCCCAACAGAGACTCGAACCTAGTCCCTATCGTTTCAAATACTAGAGTGTTATTCAATAAGTGGCGACAGCCACCCCGACGCCACACCCCTCCCGTGGAACAAGTATGATTTGAAATGATTTGTGTTTGTAATTTGCACGTCACAAGTGTTGGTTTGCAGAGATTTTATCGGTTACAGGCTAAATCACGGATTGACGTTAGTTAGAGTACCAGTAGAAATCAGGACAGCTGTTTCATCCTAGTTTGAGATTTTCCATCAGTACATACCCACCTGGGAGTTCTAGTGAGTAGTCGTAACTTGTGGGGACCAAGTAAGGTAGGAGGCTAGTTACTCGCCTATGAGAGTGGCTAGCTGTTGCTCTGTATCTGTCACCATTTGGCAGAAGTAGAAATTCATGAGCTATCGGAAAAGTTCTCAATGGCTGAATGGTCTACAAGCTCGCCTTGTAACCTGGAGATCTTCGGCTTGAAACATGGTGGTTATAGGCTGATGAAGAGTCCCAAACTCAGATGAAACAGCTGTCCAATACTCCCTGCCTGGTTTTCCAAGAGTTCTCTCATTGATATCAGCTTGTAATCTCTCTTGATGATCTTTTCTGGCCGGCCATCTGATCTTGAGTATTGAGCGAAGACAACTGTTAATGAAGGTCTGTAGTTTGTTTGAGATGCTCTTTATGACGCGCAGTGCAAGTCTCTGATCCGCATAGTAAGTAGCACTGACTGACTTCACATTGGAGTTGAAAATCCGGATGTTATTTTTGATGCTGATTAGTGCTGTTGATCTCCACACAGACATGAGAGTAGTGAAAGCTTGTCCTGCTTTTCCGATTCTTGCTTTGATATCCTCGTCAGTTCCGTTGGCCTGTAGTTGAAACGATGCTTCCCAGGTCGGTGGGTGAAGGAGGTTGTTTCTTTCAGGTTCCTTCCATTTATGCTGATTGTTGTCTGTTGTTGTTGTTGTTGGTGTTGTCCAGGAATCTTCATCACCTCTGTTTCCTCTATGTTTACCTGAAGTCCTATCTTTGATGCTTCTTCTGCCAACACAAAGTAACACAATATTAGTGATGACTAGACTTATCTATTTGCTTGGAGGATTCCAACATGAGCTGACATCAGTTAGAGAGAGAGAACCATTGGAAAATAAGCACTGGAGTACTGAACAGCCAGCTGTTTCGTCAGCCTATTTGGCGACTCTTCGTCAATACGCACCCCACACCGTTGAGTTCAATCCCAGAACCTTCTGGTTACAAGGCGAGTGAGCTCGTGTGTAGACCATTAAGCCACTCACTGGGATCCGTCTCCTCAATGGCCAACCAATGAATTCTAACTTCTACCAATTCATGAAATAGTGCACTGGTAAAGAGGAAAAGATTGGCCATGAGATCAGCAGCAACCCCATCCTGTAAAAATCATGACCACTGCTACAGAAACTTCAAGCCTCTAGCTTGAAGGCCGCCCCCCCCCCGCCTATGTTCCACTGGGAACGTGAAGGAATGAAAAAAATAGTAGTTACAATGAATGACATGATTGTGAACAGCAAATTGTTTTATTCGATACGCTTTCATCCAGTTACCAGCGTATTACTGTTCCCCCCTCCCCCTACGTATGATATATGCAATAAACTAATGAATATAATATCACATACTACCACATATACGCACACACACACACATCATCAGTGTAATAATTTGATTACCTACCTTGTCATGACTACTTACAAAGACAAACAAACAAATACCTACATCTGCAAAAAATTATATTTGTAAAATCTCAGCGAGATTGAAATGAGTAATTCCAACGTTTCGTTCGGCAATCTCGTCCGAACTTCTTCAGGGAAATTAATCGAAATTGACATAACACAGGTTTATATATAAAAAAGGAACATCATTTGTTTTTAAAAACTTTGTCCAATCATAAGTCATTCAACAAGAAGTATAATAAACAAAATTTTATGAGCTGTGATCAAAATTTGACCTCGAACTTACAAATATTGATCTACCTTTGTTAAACACTTTAAACAGAGTGTGTGTGTGTGGGTAAACAGTTGCGAAACATTTCTTAACGTCTCCATAAGAAGATATGAACAGTCGAGAATTTTGACCAAGTATTAATAATTAGTGATACATATCCATTTTTTTATTTATTATTAAGGATTTCCTATGCATCAGCTAACATCACGCCTTCATGTCTGTTCAAACTGTTAGTATCTAGAATTTTATGATTAGACGTACTTTCAAAATAATGGTGTTTAGGATTAGAGTTTAGTAGAAGCACCCTGTCGGACTTATTGCTTTGCCTTCTTTCTGAAGATTGAGCTGCTTTATTCGACCTACTGGAGTTGTCAGGTGACTCGACAGCTACGGATTTAGGATATGCATTATTCTGTTGCAGCCAACGGAGAGTGAAAACACGATGATTGTGCCAATTACACAGTTTTTTTTGTTAAGTGATGTTCCTTTTATATATAAACCTCTGTTGTTATGTTAATTTCGATTAATTTCTCTGAAGAAGTTCGAACCAGATTGCCGAATGTAGGAAACGTTGGAATTACTCATGTTAATCTCGCTGAGATTTTACAAATATAATTTTTTACAAATGTCTACTTTTCACTCGGCGCCAAAATATTTTAGAACTATTCTGTCAAATCTTGACGACAGTTCATTTGAAATATCTACATCATTATTTTATTGATTATTTAGGAAGAATCACTATTTGGTTGGTGTTTAATAAGAAATATTGATCAAGGAAGACAAATCATTCGATATACATTTCCTAATCATACACTACCTCCTCATTCAAATATTAAGGTAAGTCAATGAATTACTTACTAAGTAAGTTAGTGAGTAGTGGAGTGAGTGAGTGAGTGAGTAAGTGAGTGAGTGATTCAGTAGTATCTTACCTAATTTTTTACCGATAAAACACAAAATAATTGAGCAAAGAATATCCTTTTCAAAAGAATAGACACGGAAGAAAGAGTGCTCTTTTCGATAAATTCATCATCAGGTTCTACAATTATATATACATTATAATGAATGAATGAATTGGTGTTATGAACAACATTAATGTTGTTTAAATAACATCAAATCAATAATATTGATAGATTACAGTTGAATAGCATCAACATAACAATAAACTGAATGTCAGAAGAATTAGGAAAGGTAATGGTACAAATTCATGAGTTTATAGTCTCTACTGAGGGCCAGGGCAGTAGTAGGGGCTGGACTTGTTTCTTTTGGACACAGAGCGCTGGTTGTTTGAGGCGAATTGCAATAGCCTCTGCTGTTTGGAGTAAGCGGTGCTTCGATGATTTTGGTAATTTGTTAGGCAACCGGTTGATGATAGAGAAGGATTCTTCTACGCTGGCTTTGTGACCGGTTTGCACCAAAAGGTCTAATATCGAGCTGGTAATAGTTTCAACTACACCTTTACTTAGGCATAGTGGGATATGTTCTCGAGCACGAAAAATCAAGTTCCTAGAGCAACGGCCAATATAACTCGCTCCACAAGCGCAGTTTAATTGATAGATACAGTTTGAAGCGGCTAGTCTAGGTACTTCATCTTTCAGTCGAGGAATCACCATCGGTTGTGTAGAGAATAAGACGTGTAGTTCGCCAGCATTACCTTTTCTTTGAACTGATTTTCCTAATTTCTTCGTAATTATCTCGCTTGGTATATCGCCCATAAATTGTAGTCGTATATAAAGGGGCTTCCTGTTTATAGATAGTGGGTTGTCCTTTTCGGCCTTCTTCGTCATATGTTTCTTGATAAACTTGTCAGGATAACCATTTTCAATTAAAGTATCATATACCATGTTTAATTCATCTTTAATTACTTCTTCAGAGCATATAGCTCTAACTCTGTGGCTAAGGGTCTTCACCAAATTCCTTTTGTATTTGATGGGAACGAAGCTATGAAAGTGCGTATATTGTCCCGTCCAAGCTCTTTTTCTATGTAAATTTCTTTTTATGCCACCGTCTGGTTTTCTTGTAAATTCCCTCTTCGGCATCTACATATATACATATGTTTATATACATAGAATATTCTAGAATAGTAGTCAATAACAATATTGGTGTTTTTTAAATAGTATCGATTTGTAAAGTAAGATTACAATGGAACTACAGTTCATTAAAAATGCTTAAATTATAATAATAATAATAAAGATATGGTAGCAAATAGAATATCAACTAAAATTAGGAATATTTCTACGAAAATTGAGGATCATTCGAAGCTAGATGGCCAAGGTAAGGACAATGTCTGAACTAGCTTCTTCTTTTGGACGCATAAATTAGGCTTCTTAATGTGGATCCCAACAGTCAGCCTCAGCAATATTTAGTAGACGGACTCTTAAGGCGAAGTTAAGATATGCGGTATGGTATGCGGTAAATGACTTTGAAAGCTGCCTCGTTGACATCAATCTTGTGTTCTGTATCCACAAGACGAGATAGAATAGCGCTATGTGAATAGATTTTGTTTGTCCTTTACTTAACCAAGCAGGATGATGTTCGGAAATTCGACAAGAAACACGCCTAATTGTACGGCCTATGTAACTGGCTCCACAGGAGCAGTTAAATTGGTAGATACACATGGAAGAGGCGAAATTAGGCAGTTTATCTTTTACTCCCAAACACAACAGAGGAGTGGTTTTGAAGACACAGCGTAATTCAGCAGCATGGAATGCTCTTTTTACCGCATTTCTAAGGCGTTGTGTTGGTATCTCGCTGATGTTGTCCCCGAGGAACTGAATTCATAAGAATAAGGCCTTTTTAGGAACTGTTGGTATTTTGGGCTGCTTTGATTTTAGATTCATATTCTTATCAATAAACTTTTCTGGATAACCGTTTTCTCTCAGCAACCGTTTAATATATTATTAAGTTCCTTATCAAGGCATTCGTCCGAGCAGATTGCTCTTGCTTGCTCTATGGACCAAGCACTTTATCAGATTGCGTTTGTATTTCAAGGGCACGAAGCTGGAAAAATGAGTATACTAACCAGTTGATGTCTTCTTATTGTGCCATCCTCTTTTCTGGTTATAAGGACATCTAAAAATGAAATACTAGAGTCTTTTTCTTTCTCAATAGTAAAATTCATTGTAGGATGAACCTTGTTAAATTTATCCAGGATGTTCTTTGTTTCATGCTCATTTTTCATCATAATCAAAAATGTATCATCCATGTACCGATAATAGAATTCAAGTTCATCAATAACATCTTTGAAAGGCCCATTTTCTAGTTTCGCAAGAAAAGTATCGGCTAGAATGGGTGTCCTAGTGGTGACCCCATTGCCACACCATCGATTTGCCTCTGTATTTCCTTATTAAATAAAAAGTGGACACTCATTGTGCATTTCAAAAGAAGCTCTTCATCATAAAAGATATAGGAATGCCAACATCGATGTTTCGTCCTATGAGTTCTTCACTGTACTGTTAAATGTGAAGTAGGGTGTGTTCCGTGTGTCTATCTCAGGCTAAACTCACTAACTTAGATAACAATTTCATTAGAGTGTGATCGATTACACTAAGAAGAACAAGAGAAGAAGAAGAAGGCTGATCATCGCAATGCATGCTGAAATTGAAGTTAGATGGTTGGAGGCAATCAAAGTAGGAAGTCTGAGGTCTAGGTTTTGTACTCCATCGGCATTCTTCAGTAAAAAGCATATCTCTGAAACACTGAGCAAACTGATATTGCTTCTGAGATTCAAACCGATGTCACTCACTCTACAGCAAAAGTCGGAGACGTTACTCCTGAACTAATTTACCTGATGACTGACAGATTATCAAGTATTGGTTTTGTAGGGATTTTGTTTGATTGGTTGGAGGATTTCACCATAAACCGGCGTCAGTTAGAGAACCATTGGAAAACCAGCACTGGAGTACTGGACAGCCAGCTGTTTCGTCCTAGTTTGGGACTCTTCATCAGTACGCACCCACCGGGATTCGAACCCAGGACCTTCTGGTTACAAGGCGAGCTTGTAGACCATCGGGTCCCAGTGGCTCAATGGTCTACAAGCTCACCTTGTAACCAGAAGGTCCTGGGTTCGAATCCCGGTGGATGCGTACTGATGAAGAGTCCCAAACTAGGACGAAACAGCTGTCCAGTACTCCCAGGTTTTCCAGTGGTTCTCTAACTGATGTCAGCTCATGACAGATTATCGCTAACCAATTAACTTCAATTCAAAGTAAAATAAGAAGGAAGTGTCACCTAGCTATCTATGAAGGCCACTATTCAAACATGGAAGTGGCCAGATGCGGGATGTTGTCCTTAAGGCTTCTGCTGATCAATGGGCAACTGGAGAACACTATTCTTGGCGTTGCTGCCAAGAATATTCTTTTCAAAGATGCTGAAATTCTTCTCTTGAGGATATCGCAAGCAAAGTCACCCTTGAAATCCAGATTCATGTAAAGTGTCTTTTTTGAAACAAGTGATGTTTTGTTCCACTGAACCTTTGGTTTGATATTCTTGTCGACGAATCTTGGTGGATATCCATTTTGGATGAAGGTTTCTTTCAGAAGATCCAGTTCTGCTTCCAGGACGTCAAGACTACTGATGCGTTAGATCCGAGTGGTAAGGGATTTAATCAGATTTCCTCTCAAAGGGTACCCAGCTGTAGGGTTTTCTATGTATTGACCTTCTTAGGCATCTTTCATTTAGTCTTGTTAGTTGCTCATCAAGAAAAGGAATTCGAGATTCGCATTCCATTCCAGTTTGACAACAATAACCCTAACTTATTTTTTTGTTCTTATCAGACAAACACATACAAAAATGAGTATATGTGCGTCGGTGGCACAGCGGTTAGGACTCTCACTGGCAATGCACATGGTCCGGAGTTCGATCCCCCTGCCGACGCACACCTGATATCAATGGTCGGCCTGTAAAATTTGGGCTACCGATATCATTTGCTGAAAATTCTATACTTGTACCAAAAACACGGTGTGAGATTTCAATATATTAAATATTCCCATAGTAAAATTTGGAACAACACATTTAAGCGAACAATATTGTTTTCAATTAGATCTCATCAGGCTTAACTCTAATATATATAAGTTTACAAATAAAAATTCAAATATAAACCAATCATGGTGTTTTGTCTATAGGATAATACGATGGTGAATATAAATTGTGCAATTAGTCATAATAATAATAACAATAATAATAAAAATGGTCTTATCAATAATAAGGATGAAAAATGAGGCAATCTGTGATAACACGAATAATGAAAAACAGCATGACTAAACAAACAACTGTTCAGGTGGAAGTAGTCGATAAAGGCTAGTAAAAACAAATGAACCGATTAAGTACTGCTAGATTGTAAGGGAAGGAAATGAAACACGTTTATAATGAAGATAAGATTAAGGGATGATAAGAAAGGGGTTGAAAATATAAGCAAGGTGTGGTGTAGAAGTCATTAGTTGCTTATGTCTTAATAGGCCAAGGGAGGTATAATGGCTGTATGAACTTCTTTTGAATGCATAGTTTAGGTTTAATAGTTCGAATGCTTATCGCCTCAGTTGTGTGCAGTAGACGAATACGAAGTCTGTTGGAAAGATTTGGTGGGATACGATGAATTACTCTGGAAGCTCTCGTTTTCTCCACTACATGACCACTATCAACTAAATGTGATGTGACAAAATTGAGCTGGGGATTGTTTTTGTCTGTCCTTTGCCAAACCACCACGATGGAAGATGTTCACTAACACGTTGGCTTAGCTGTCTAGTAGTACGCCCAATATAACTGTCACCGCAGGTGCAGTTGAATTGATAAATGCACATAGATGTGGCAAAACTATCAAGCTTATCCTTCGTTTGCATCCCAATCATTCGTCGGCTAGAGAATGACAAACATAGGTGTGCTGCATAAAATGTTCTTCGTATACTCCTTGAAAGTCTTTGGAATAGAATCTCACTTGATAAGTCACCATTAAATTGTAATTTAATGAATAGAGGTTTCTTACGTGCAGTCAGAGTCTCCGGTTTTTTCTCCGATATTTTCATATGTTTCTTCATGAAACTACTCGGATAGCCCATCTCCATCAACGAATCGTGAATATATATTCAAATTCCTTTTGTAAGAGGTCATCTGTACATATCTTTCTTGCTCTGCTCGCAAGACATTTTACAACATTCCTTTCATATTTAATGGGCACGTAACTAAGGAAGGTTGTATTGCTGTGAAAGTGTTAGCAACAGTTAATATTGTACACTCATCGAGTTACTTTTAATTCCGTGTTTCTGTCAATACATTTTTTTTTAAATTTTAGATATGGGCAGGTAGTAAACCACCTGTCAGATCAATAAGTATTAGTGATATTGAAGCACCATATTCAACATGGGGTACTGGTTCTTATATACAGACAAGTCTTTACAATCCAGATGGTTTAGTAAGTTGTACTTGTTCAATAATTGTTTATGTTCAATGTGTCTTCCTTGAGTATACATTTGTGTTTGACCTCTATAGCCAAGATTGCTCTGGGAGGTAATCAGGGTTCTGGATTTAATGAATGCCTACACACACCAACCGGCAACAACAACAGCAGCAGCAACATCCAGCGCCAATCACCATCAACGAGAGGGAGCATTGTCTTAACTACAGGAGGAACGGACGAGGATGTCAAATCGAGAATCGGGAATGCGACAAAAACACATTCATCAACCTGAAACCAATCTGGAAATATTCGTCACTCAGCAACACTCAACAACAAAATTTGGATTCTCAATACAAACGTCAAGTCAGTCAGTTCTTCTATACGGATGGATCAGAAACTTGGCGGCGGGTCACAAAGAATATTTCCAACAGCCTGTTGCAGACCTTTATCAACAACTGTTTTCGCTCTATATTGAAGATCAGATGGCCCGAGAGAATCACCAACAAGAAACTATGGAAATAAACAAAACAGGAACCAATCGCCAGACAAATATGCAAGAGAAAGTGGAGATGGATTGGACACTTGCTGAAGAGGCCGCTGGGTGACATCACGCGTCAGGCTATAGCTCGAGTGGAACCCGAAAGGGAAGCGGCGAGTGGGACGTCCAAGGGTGACATGGAGGAGATCGTGTGAAGAGGAGTTGAAACAGTATGGACTAACATGGATGCAAGTGAAAGGTGAGGCAGAAGACAGAAGCAAGTGGAGACGTGTAGTTGAAGCCCTATGTTCCATTAGGAGCCCAAGGGAACAATAATAATAATGCACTCATATTTTCATCGATAGAAAACATTACATTGGATGTATATAGAAGAAGATCTTTCACTGCTTCGTTTACTGTAACCGGTATCCCTCAAGATGGTGTTCTTTCTCTTAATATGACTCCTTTCTGATGAAGTCAAATTTGTTAAGTATGCTAACGCGATCTGGTTGTCTCCCTGCTAGTTACCCCTGCCAATCAAGCAGGGGTACTATTCCAAAATGATTATGTTCCCAGCCAGAGTTTTGTGTTGCCGATTATTTCTGACCAGTCATTTGATCTTTAATAATATGGAGACAGCCAGCGAAGTGGGTAGCTGTTGATAAAAATTTGCATTGGCTTGTTGGAAATGATTATCGTGACGTGGTCACCAGCTAGCTTTCTGCCGCATATAGAAGAACTGACTCACTGACTTCACATTGGTGTTGCAAGTCCCATTTTCGGATGTCTTCTTAGTCAAGCGAACAACCACAGGGGAATTAGGCACTCAAGTTTATAGAAAATCAACTCACACAAACCAAATACTGAATTACAACAGCAATCACAACAATCCAATAACACATAAAAGGAATTGCATACAAACACTATTCAAGAGAGCCAGCCAGGACTCATTGCAGCACTCCCATATTAAGGAAAATTGAAGAAAGATATCTCATGGACGTCTTCCAAAAGAATGGATACTCACGGAACTTCATCAAAAGACATATGCCCCCAAGCCAACCTATCAAACCAAAAGCCCCCAAGGAAAGCACAAAGAAAATCGCCCTACCATATATAAAGAACATCTCAGAAATCACTGCAAGACTCCTCAAACCTTTAGGAATTGACGTCGCACACAAACCAACAAAATCACTTCACTCAGTTCTATGTCAACCAAACGACTCAACAACGAAAGAAGATAAAAGCAACATCATCTACAAAATAAATTGTAACAACGGCAAAAAACACCAAATCTGCCAAAGTGGACGTCCCCTTCGTCTTCGTATCCACGAACATAAGCTAGCTGTCAAAAGACATGATATCCACTCCCTCATATCACTACATACAGACAACCGAGGACATCAATTCGACTGGAACACCGTTCAAATATTGGACAGAGGAAACAACAAGAATGCTAGAGAATTTTTAGAAGCCTGCCTGGTATTCCAGTGAATCATCAATCAATAGACACATCGAGATAGACAAAATTTATCAACCGATAAGAAAGAAACCTCACACACACACACAAAGGGTCAACGTTCAAGTCAAAGAAACAATCAGTTCCAATACAAGAAGTATGGAGGGTGTGAAAACACACAAAAACAACCACTCACGTCCAAGGTCACCAGGACAGATGATTAATAAACTCGTGGAGAAATCGAAAAGCTCACTTCCACAAATTGAGGTATGCGCTGAAGATGTCGCCTAGTAGGGCGCTGAAAGCTTCGCAAATTAACTATCCAGCTCAGAGAACACAACCACATCAATATATGTATATATATATGATCATTTTTTCATAATAACAAGATACACTTGAATAACAGGATTGAACAGGAGTTGAAATCAGTTAGAGGTAATTTAATCTGATGCTCTCTATCAACTTGCCCTATAAAGGTGTTACCTGGGGTTCTAGTAAGAAGTCATAACCAACAGGGTCCGCCAATTCAGATAAGAGGTCAGTTTCTCCCACGTGACAATGGGTGGAGGTTGCGCTAAATATATGTATATATATATATATATCACGAATATGAAAAAGAGAAGACGTTCAGTGGAGAGACTCTTTTTGACGGCGAATTCATTCACATAGCTGTACAATCGCATTTATATACAATTATTTGTGTGTGTGTATGTACATGAGGTTTGTCAAGTTTAGATAATTGATCAGGTAATACAAGAATGATCTAATATAGAAACAAGGTTAATCAGATAGCAAATAAAGTAAGATTAAGTTAGTTAGTAAGTTGGATGACGCAATATAATTGACTAAAATGTTTCAACTTAGGTCAGGATAGCAACAGAGGTAATTACAGGTAGGACTGAAACAAATTAGAAGTGAAATTGAGCAAATAAGTTGGATGACGTAACATAACTGTAAATGAGCGTTAATCAAGTCAGTAACAGTTGTAGTGAGGTGCAGAAATTAAATCGGGTGGGGATAGAGAACAAGAAGGTTGAAATTTGTAAAATATTACAATTGAAAAGACAAAATAATACTAATGAAGAGACAAAAAAAAGAGATTAGGTCGAATTTACCTGTCGGGTAATAAGATAGATTACGTTCATTGCAAGTGTAGTGATTGAACGAATTTCTTCTATATGCAGAGTTCAGGGCTAAGCAAGTGAATTGCCATTGCTTCTGCAGTTTGAAGAAGTCTGATTCATACACCTTTAGGAAGACTACTTCGTATTCTGTAGACGACTTTGAAGTTTGTTTGGGGTGTACACACACACACACACACAAAGAGATAATTGTATATAAATGCGATTGTACAGCCATGTGAATGAATTCGCCGTCGAAAAGAGTCTCTTCGCTGAACGCCTTCTCTTTTTCATATGACTCAATATTACGAATAGACAGAAGTCGGAATTCACAGACCACTGGTTCGAGTTCAAGTGGCTTAATGGTCAACGAGTACGTCTCTTAACCAGAAGTTCCTAAGTTTGAACCCTGGTGGCGAGTGCACACTGATGAGGAGTCAGTACCGACCTAGGACGAAACCAACACTTGGCATTCGAATAAACCTTGTTTCATTTGCTGTCTCACTTAAAACCACGAAGATGTATGCATATTGTAAATCGGTTTTTCTTTCTTCAAACGATTTTTTTTTCATCTTGAAATCAAACTAATCTTCAGAGACCTGTCAACTCTATACACTAATGATTAGAGTCGGGAGTAAGATTTCACACGGGTCTAATGAAATCCTTGTTTGACAAGGATCTCTCATTTCTCCTTGACTCATGACTTAATTCGTCTCTCTTGCAGAAGATATCAGACACAGAAACATACTACTTAAAAATCTCTGTCAGTAGCATCTACCATCTAGTGGAATGGATAAAATGACGGTTATTTCATTATACGTACAACTGGATGACTCAGAAGTTTGGTTACATAACACACTCGATATGCTAACCTCAGTGTTTAATAGCTGTTTTTGGGTTTTAGTCGCTTTATGAACCAGTGGGTGAATACTAACCAAGTAGCGAAATCCAAAAAAAAAAGTCTTTCAAGTGTTGGTTTGTAGGGATTTAGTTGATTGGTTACAGGATTTCATCATGAGCTGAAAATCAACCAAATCCCTACACACCAATACTTGAAAATCAATGTGATGCTCAGTGGCGACTGGCCCTATTCAGATAGGTAGTTATCTGGGGTTCTAGTGGTTCTAGTCGTAACCAGTAGGGTGCAGCAGGTGGGGTATGAGGACAAATACTCGCCGAAGACATTGGCTAGCGGTTGCGCTATATCTTGAATTGGCAGAAGTTAGAATTCATGGGCTGGCCCTTGGATCGGGTCCCAGTGAGTGAGTTAATGGTCTAAGACCTCGCCTTATAACCAGAAGGTCCTGGGTTCGAATCCCGTGGTGTGGGTGCGTACTGATGAAGAGTCCCAAACTGGGACAACAGAAACAGCTGTCCAGTACTCCAAGGTTTTCCAATGGTTCTCTAACCAATGTCAGCTCATGACGAAATCCTGTAACCAACAAAAGTCTTTATTATCCATCTTAAAAATCAATTGAAATTTAAGGAATTTATTGATATGGCAGGTAATACGACAAGATAGTAGACTGTGAGTCATATCGTGAGAATGCGTTGATTAAGAGAAACTTCTCTCTCCATTAAACGCTAAGTCAAGCGGTCGGTCGGTCGGTTTTCGACATAGAACTTTGCACATATGTGCGCCAGTTCAAGTCGCCACACTCCCTCCATGTAGCACACAAAGCAAGTGAAGAAAGTAGAAGAAATGCATAATAATATAGACAGTAAACAGAGGTGTGAGACAAAGGAATAGTAATAACGAAGAACAAAACAGTTTAACTGGAAATCATAAGTCACAAGGAGTGGATGCATCTGCGCTAGTCACTGAGAACGATTTTGAGCCATGTCACCAATTGTTTCCAACCATTGGTTTTTACCGTCCTGAGGACCCCAACCAGTCAGGAAGTCTACACCTTCCTACGTGGCTTAGATTAACTGTTGTGGATTTCATTGACTGGTGCCATGTTTTGGTTTGACCACCACTGGCTCTTTTCCAGCCTGGCCTTATATCAGCTAACATTGCCCATTGTCGGGGAAGGCGATGACTAAGCATACGTAACACATGTCCTAACCATCACAGTCGATGTAGTTTCATAGTCGCATCGACTGATTTCCCCTCCTTACCTAGCACTCGACCGATGCCTAACCTCAATATTGCTCACCTTATTATACCACTTCACGCGGGAGATAGAACGCAGACACCTATGATCGAAGACAGCTAATCTTTTCATGTCTTCTGCTCTCAATGGCCAGGTCTCACAGCCATAAAGGAGGACGGAGCGGACTGTTGAGCAGTACACACGCCCTTTGGTCGACAGCCGGCCGGATGTCACGTCTACGCCAGAGACGGCTAAGTCAAGCACAACAACAACACCTTCGATGCTAAAAAGCAAGAGAGAGAAGACTAGTTTTTGGCACCAACAGTCCCAACACTTGACAGTATAACTGAATACATATACAAATATGGCTTTTAAATGATCTTGACTAGCATTGGCTAGGGGTCGCGCTATGTCGTGAATTGGCAGAAGTTAGAATTCATGGGCTGGCCATTGGATTGGGTCCCTGTGGCTTAATGGCATACGAGCTCGCCTTGTAGCCAGAAGGTCCTGGGTTCGAACCCCGATGGGTGCGTACTGGTAAATAGTCTCAAACTAGGACGAAACAGCTGTCCAGTACTCCCAGGTTTTCTAATGGTTCTCTAACTAATGTCAGCTCATGATGAAAATCCTGTAGCATTAAAAGAGTTAACAACCAATCAGATTCCGGCTTTTACAAAAAGGAGTGGGAAATACAAAATGTGGCATGATTGTTTACGATAACTGAAAAATATAAATGTCTTAAGCTTATAAACAAAGATTTTATGCTGGCGGTCAAATATTAAGAATTTTTAGTAACCATGTAGGCGAACGTAGTTCGATTCTCAGCTGTCAACGCACTTCTTAATCTCGCTCAACTGGTAGTACATAAGCTGAGCAAAAAACTAAGGTTAACGGACATTGGGCAGAAAGTGCCAATTCACAAAAGAAACACTACTAGTACTACTGTAGTGAAAGCTGTCTGCTAGCCGAAATTCTAGACAACAATTTACCTCAATGTTCACGTCCCGAATCGGGGTCATGAGAAAAAACAATAACAAAGCTTAACCTTGAGGAACTCAACAACCAATCGCAGCACACTTAACGTGTGCAAATATGATTCGCACATATAGGGCCTAACTTTCTGAGAAACGGTCACAAGCACTACAGAATAACCTTCAGTAGGAAAACAACCAATCATAAGACGTTGTTTCTCCACTAACAATAATGTACTTAAAAATCTATAAATACCTCTTGATTTTCTCAATAAGCGATCTGTTTCCCGGCCATTGTCTTCTGTCGTTACACTACTACTACACAAACTTCAAAGCCCAGAATTTTGAAGCCTAAAAGTCACCTTGGAAAGCCATAAATTTAAGGGGGGTGGGGAAATTAGGAGTTTGTATACTATATTATCCATATTATAAATGAGCTATTGTCCATGTTTTGTTTTCTTTCTAATCTTTTTTCAGGAGAAGGCAACACATATTCAAAAATTACAATAAAATAACAAAATAAATAAATTATCATAATAATGGCTGTGAAGAATACATTATCATGGAATTGGGAAAATCTTCCACAAAGCGATCAAAACAAAAAATAGCACATTGTTCATTGAAAACATATCCATATATGTGTGTTTTATCCTTTGGTCTTTGTTATTATTATTATTATTAATATTCTATATTTTGTAATGTTTTGTATTGCACTTTCAAATTTTTATTCTCTCAATTATTCCTCTCCTTACAATATTTCGGATTTTCTACATAAAATTTAGGCAAGGAAGGGAGAAATATCAGTCGCTATTAGTTTCCTTCAGTTGCGCACACACACACGCTTTTAGAAAGCAGACCTAGCCTACAACACTGTAGACGGAAATGCCTCGAAATGCAACATTTCTGTCAGCTAGTATTGACTTCGTATCTTTTAACTTTAGTAAATGTTTTTATACTACTATATAATTGGTTAGTAGTTTGTAATATTTTCGTCAATTTAGTTGTCTGTTATTATTTCTTGGCATTCAAAGTAGAATATCGAGACTTCAAAACCCGTTCCTCTTCAACTGGATTTATTCTCTGGTTAAAGGCGATTTGTAGGAGTGCATATGTAGGTGTCTGGGAAATTGAACCCTAAACGACTTAAGTGATTGGTTGCAAGCATTCTACCAATAAACCGCCGATGCACACTCTTTTACTTAAATATTCATGCACATCAAATAATTTTATGAGTATTATTATTATTTTATGCATTCTTTTATACTTTTTCGAAACAGAGTCGGAGGGTATATAAGTTTCATAGTGTACAGTTCCATTTTTTGTTACTTTTTTCACTTTGAGTGCTGAGGATGTTTTTGTTTTTGCCGACTACTGAAAATCTTAATTTACAGTTATTAGTTGTTTAAAAATTGGTGATATTTGATAAATCAATGAATAAATCAATAAATGGATTTTTCAAAGTTTGTTTATGTTATTCTTTTGGCTAGAATTGATATAATAATGATGTTGTGGCTTGTTGGACCACTAGAGACTTGTTAATTCTATGTACTACTCTATCATTACGATGAATATGAATCTTTAAGAGAAAAATTTGTGTTCCGAGGGAAAAACAGAGTTTCAGCAGCAATATGTCCGAATCACTATGTTACCTATAGTCTTCTATAGCTGCCTCCAAGGTTGCTGATAGGGTTTCATCTCTTTCTCACACGATCGCCTTCATGTCATCCTAAAATCGACGCCCACTGGAGAGCTTGGTGCGTGATATCTCGCTCAATGGTCTCCTCACAGTAAGTGTGTCCAATTCACACTCCACTTCCTTCTGCTTATTTGTGTCGGGGGATAGAGATGCTTAGTTGATTTGTTGACTGCAATAGTTTCTTTATGCTTATCATTTTTTGCCGGCCATCTGATCGAGTCAGAGCAGGCGACTATATTCATAAAATTCAGGAAGCTAATCCAGTACTGAATTTATGCTGTTAGACGGAATTTTTCAGTCTACAGTACAACAGAATGTCTTATTAAGAAAATCAACATTTTGTACAGAGTAAGATGATACTATCACTTAGTGTTTTCGGTTTTTCATCACCCACGTACAGCCTGAAATCAGTACTTCTGTTATATTGTGTTCAGAGAATTTTCATACGCGTCGTTAAAAGCATTTCCAACACAATGTTCAAAACTTTAATCAACACCTCCCTCCTTTGATCCTTACTGAAGATCAGATGGTCAGCCATGCAGGATTAGCAAGATAAGAAGAAACTCTGGGAAATGAACCAACCAGAAACTGATTGTCAAATAAATATGCCGATGAAAATGGAGACGGATTGGACCGTTGAGTGAGATTATGCGCAAAGTAGCAGGCTCTTCGGTGGAACTGAATGAGAAACAAAGAGTCAGGCATCCAAGGTTGACATGGAGATGATCTTGTGATGGGGGGGGGATGAAAGCCTATAGACAATCGTGGAGTCGGCTAAATAGGGCTGCGGAGAAAAGGATAAGGTGGAGACGTGCCGCTGAAGCCCAATGTTCCACTCGGAAGCAAATAATAATAATAGTAATTTGAAAATTCCCATTCAGTCATAGAAAAGAAAAGGCGTTCAGCAAAGAGTTACTCTTTTCGGCGATATCATTCTCAAGCTGTACAAACCGCAAATTTATAGTAATTTTTCTTGGCAACAAAAGGAATATTTCCAAAGATGCAATTGGTAATTTTTGACAACAAATTACGTAATTTAGAAGGCGTTAATCGGTTAGAAACTAAAATAAAGTTACAAAAGTAGGTTGGGTGACGTAATCTAATTGCTAGGGTTCAATGAAAAATGAATGAGAGTCAAGTTAATAATCTGAGTAGAATTCACTTGAAAATGGGTGAGAGTTAAGTTGATAAGCTGAGTAGAATTCACTTAAAAAAAAAAAAAAAAAAAACAAACGAAAATGGAGTTAGCAACAGTCGTCATGAGGGTAGAGATTTAATAGAGGGTGGGGGTAGAAAATAATGCAATTAAGAAACAGACAAACAAAGAAGAAAGAGGTAAGACAAAATTACGTATTTGATGTTGAGATAGATCAGGACCATTGTAGATTTAGTGACTGAATAAACTTCTTTTGTATGCAGAGTTCAGGATTCAATATGTGAATTGCCATTGCTTCTGCAGTTTGAAGAAGTTTAATTCGTACTCTTTTGGCAAGGTTCCCACGTATTGTGTAGATAACTGAGAAGTTGCTTTGTGGGTTTGCTTGGTGTCCGGATTCGATTAAGTGTTCTAGGATAGAGCTGTGGCGGGGGGATCTTCTTTCTCCTTTATAAAACCATGAAGGTAAGTGTTCGCTGATTCGTTTGGATAGCAAACGCTGGGTACGGCCGACATACCTAGCTCCACATGAGCAGGTGAATTGGTAGATGCACATTGCTGAGGCCCCCAGTGGAAGCTTATCCTTCACGTTCGTGCGAATCATTGGTTTCGTAGAGAAAGTTAGTCTGAGTTCAGCTGCGAAGAAGGTTTTCTTCAGTGAGCGGCACAGGCGATTTCTCAGTATTTCTGCTGAAGAATCTCCGTTGAATTGTAGATTCAAATAGAGAAGTTTCTTGGGAGCAGTAAGCATGGACGGCTTTTGTGTTTTGGGCTTCATGGCTTTTGTGATGAAACGTTCCGGGTAACCGTTTTCAAGGAGGATTCTTTTCAGGGTCTTCAGCTCCTCTTCTATGGTTTCCGGACTGCAAATGTTGTGGATTCTGTGAGTCAGTGAGCGGATTAGATTTCGTTTTGTATATAGAGGCACCCAACTGTAGAAGCTGATGAGTTGTCCATTCCATGTCGGTTTTCTGTGAATGGATCTTTTGAGTGTCCCATCTTGTTCACGTCTTGCTAGTTGCACGTCCAGAAAAGATATTGTTGCGTTGGACTCCTTCTCTAGTGTGAACTGGATTGCTGGATGGCAACTGTTGAAGAAGTCCAATATGTTCTCCAAATTTTCTTCATTATTGGCGATAATAAAAGTATCGTCCACGTATCTCTTGTAGAACCCGAAGTTATCTATTGTTTTCTTTAGGTGTGTATTTTCTAGCTTTGACATGAAAATATCTGCAAGCAGCGGGCCGAGTGGTGAGCCCATAGCTATACCATCTTTTTGTCTATATATTTCATTATTGAAAGTGAATTGGACGTTTAGAGTGCATCTTAATAGGAGTTCCTTCAAATAGTCCGTGGGTATACCAATGTTCATCTCCTTTGAATCAATATATTCACATATAAAGCATATTGTTTCGGTTAGTGGGACGTTTGTAAACAGTGATACTACATCTAGTGAGAACATGGTTTGATTGGAAACGCTGACGTTTTCGATGGAATCGACAAAATCGAAGGAGTCTCGAAGTGAGTGGCGGGAGATTTGCTTTCTGACTGGTTCTAGTATGTCTACTAGCCATTGTGCGGTACTGTGATAAGGTGAATTAGTCATATCAAGGATGGGTCGGAGAGGTACGTCTTTCTTGTGCACTTTTGGTAATCCATATAGCCGGGGTATATTTGAGCCCGATGGTTTCAACGATTCGAAGGTTTCAGGATCGATGATAATAATAATAGTGTAACAACAGAAGACAAGGGTCAGGCAACAGATCATTTATTCAGGAAATCAAGAGATATTTATAGATGCACATTATGCACATTACTATTCGTTATTGTTAGCCGAGTGGTAACGTCCTCTGATTGGTTGTTTTCCTACTGAAGGTTATTCTGTCATCTCTTTGTTTCCATTTCTTAGACAGTTCGTTGATATATCTGCCAGTCGTATCCGCCCACGCTAAGTCTTCTGTGATTGGTTGTTCAGTTCGACAAGGTTAGGCTTTGTTCTTGTTTTTTCTCATGACGCTGATTTGGGACGTAAACATTGACGTAAATTGATGTCTACCAATTTTGGCTAGCAGACAGCTCCCACCACATTAGTATGTACGGAGAAATTTCAAAGTGAACAAAAGACTCAAAAAAATTACTCAGAAATTACACTTACAGAATTTACATACAGAGGATTCACGTTTAAACAAAACCAGAAAAAAAAAGTAAATTGCTACACACAATGGAAAAGGCGCTAAGTAAGAAAGACAAGAGATGGGCAATTAGTTGATAAGTAACTAAATCCCTTGACGTTGGTGACACAGTGGTTAGGACGCTAGCCGACCATGTACATGGTGCGAGGTTCGATCCTCTGCCGACGCACTGCAAAATTCGGGCTACCGATATTTCATGCTGAAAATTACATACTTGTACCAAAAATACTGTGTGTAGAATCAAGCTACTAACAATGCTGTGAGTTCGACTGAAGTCATAAAAATAAAAAGCCAGCATAATTACATAATACGGAAGTGCAAAGAGGTTAAAGCTTAAGATTACATAGTCATATTCACAGAAAAGTAAAGACAACGAGTTATTAGGGCAAGAAAACGTGGATATCAGTGTCGGTGAACACTGACTGATTTGTTTATTCGAATCGGTCTCCATTTAGTGGTAGACAACAATGACGATCGCTGCTTAATCGTATGCCGGTTGGCAAAAGATTGGAGTAATACAATCAGAAGTATTATTGTACATTTTATTAAGGTTTATTCATCACAGACTCGGCACATAGTAACTTGTAATCCTGTTTGTTAATCCGTGGGACAATAAACAATCCTATCGTTATTCCGTGTTGCTTACTAAGCATACATAATATTCGGCATGTTTGATATAGTCTTCTTAAATCAGCGATAGGTTTAGGATTTTTCGCCATCTGGATATTTATTTGACAGTGGATGATTGTTTCTTTCTGGATACATAAATCAGATTTTATACGTTAGATAACAGTTGTGTTCGGCAAACTTGAAGGGAATTGAATTCTATTGTTTATTTGTCATTTTAAAGGACTTCAGGCTGACACATGTCAACAGGATGCCAAGCGATAGCACTGCTGGAATTATTTGTTCCCTTAGAAACATAGGCTTTTTTGGGGTACATGTTCTGAGAATCGAAAGTGTGTGCCCTCCTTTTTATTCGCCCTAAATTAATCGCTAGTGCACAAGATAAGAAGCAAACAAAATAAATAATGTGACATCACTCTTGTATTCACTTTCTCCAAATTCATAAAAAAAGGGAAATAAGTATTTGAAATTTTATATTAGATAAATTAATTTTTGTCAAAGCATGAAAGATAAAAGTGGCAGTATAAAATACACTTATAATCTTTCAGACATCAGCCAGCATAAATGGGAGGATTCTGAAAGAAGCAACCTCCTTTACCTGCCTAACTACCTGGGAAGCATCGTTTCAACTACAGGATGGCAGAACTGATGAAGATATTAGAGCGAAAATCAGAAGAGAAGGTCAAGCGTTCATTTCTCTCAAGTCTGTGTGGACATGAACAGCACTTAGCATGGAAAATAAGATCCGGATTTTCAACTTCAGTGTAAAGTCAGTGCTACTATGCGCATCAGAGACCTGGTGCCACGCCACGTCACGAAGGCCACTTCGAACAAACTACA